GCACAGAGCGCCCCACGCTTTTTCACAATTATACCAGAATTTTTTGTACATTACCATTTTCAGCCTAAATAAGGATTTATTTTTCACTTTTTAGTTTGATGTGCTTTAAAAGCGTGTTTTATAGTTTTTTTAAACTATATTTATCTTCCACTTTTTAGTCCTAGCATCAATACGTGTTGTCTCAATTTAATTGTATTGCTTTGTGGACTTAAAAAAAATTTCATTGCTTTTTCGAGATAAACCTATGAAATTATTATATTGTCGCTGATTCTTTATAAGTGTACAAAGTTTGAATTAAATCTGTCCGTTTAAAGTGGGTGAAAATCGAGTCCGAAGGAGTCGGTTACATACATACATACAGGTGAAGCTAATATAAAGCGTGTAATAATTGTAGTTTTTACATATAATACAGATTCCTAAAGTAGGTTTAGGTATGTAATTCATTCTGCAATACTTTAATACATGGAATTATGTTTAAAGTAGTTGCAAGTCGCAAGAGACTTTGGTAAAATACACGTAATCAACGCGGGTGGAAATTGGTTTAAAAATTAAAATAATATATGATATTTTAAGAGATAATGTTTCATTGTTTTAATTATACGCTCTAGATACCTAATGAATTAATTGAATATTATTAAACAGTTTGTGCAATAGTGTGTCGTCGATCAATAGCAAATTATAAGCTTTATTTTTTATTTTCGAAGTCGGAGTGTGGGCTTGTTTCTTATCTGCGTCGATTTTTAATAATCACACCTCCTTAACTCAAACCCAAAATAAAACTCTTCAATATCCGAAATATAAAAATTATAAAGGTTTTACTATGTTAGACATAGTACATCTTATTGTTTTTACATATAAATATTGTGTTTTATATGAACTAATTTTATTGACATTTGGAACGAAACCCAAAAACCAAACCAAAACATTTTTTCTTTCAACCCCCCCCCCCCCCCCAAAATTTTTGTTCCTCCAAGGTCATGGTACGAATATTCATAGATTAACAAAAAGCTAAGATCATTAAGCGATGCATCCCCCCCCTCCCCTCCTTCTTTTTCCTTCCCCCACTCCCTCCCTTCTTTTTCCGTGGGCGCTCCCTCTGCGGGGGGGGAAATCGGTCGTATTTTATGATTTGGCATTCACAATAAACCGCCACCCCCCCCCCCCTCCCCACCCCCAAAACAAAAAACCCCCCCCTCTCCCCCCCTTTTCCGCCCCCCCCCCCCCCCCCCCCGGTGTTTTCCAACCAAAATTTTCCTTAACCATTTTTTTTTTTTTGTTTTTTTTTATTCAATTTCTCCCTCCTTGCTTTTTTTTCTTTCTTTTTTTTTTTTTCTTTTTTTTTTTTTTTTTTTTTTTTTTTTTTTTTTTTTAAAAAAAAAAAAAAAAAAAAAAAAAAAAAAAAAAACAACCAACCCAACCCCACCCCAAAAACCCCCCATTTTTTATTTTTTTTTTTTTAGTGGGAAAAAATCTTGTACTATATGATAATTGTCCTTTTAAAATCTAATACAAACGGAAAGTAGCTAAATGTAGTCTAAATATGTATCCATAAAGCTACCTAATTTACCTTAACTTGGTGTACAGTCAAGACATTTGTTTTACAGAAAAATTAATGTAATTTAAATTAAAACAAGCTAGTAGATTTTATAAAAAATTACTTCGTGTTGATAAAATGTGATTTGAAGAATTAATAAGTTTTTGAAAGCTTGAAAAATAATTAAATTTAATTAGTTTCTGGATTCCTATTATTCTAACCAGTAAGTTTGAAGAGAAGGTATAGTAATTAAAAATGTAAATTATCTTGTGAAAGCGATTAATTAGTTATGAATTCAATTGTAATTATGCATGTTTTAATAAGAATTTACGTACAACTGTACGTACGTCTCCTAAGATTTAAAACTTTAAGACCTAAGCTTTAAAATAATTTAGCAAGACGCAAACGCAACGAAAGAAAACAAGATTTCTACAAAAAATAATTACATAAAATAAAGGTTAATTTTTGATTTTCATTTAAAAACTATTTGAAAAACATGTCACGAACAATTATGGTCAAATAATAATTAAAAAAAACTTACACGCTTTTAAAAAGTACTCTGTGGTACTTGTTGTTGCTGTTGTACGGCTCGAATCGGTATGAATTTTGCAACACTGTACAGAACATTTAATATTGCGTTGTGTCAACTGATAATTTTATTATAATGCATTGATTATATTTTTAATGACTCATAGAATACATAGTGTTATGGTACTAGACAAATTTTTGCAAAACTTGAATTTTTCATGACACTTGTGACAGGACTTTTGACCGTATTGAAGAAGAAAAGAGATTTTATTCAATAATTTATTTAAAAAAATACTTTTTCTGTAAATCCCTGTTTAGAACATAATATAGCTAATTATCTTTGCTCTAAATCTTTTCTGAGCGTAATATGGCTCGCAGTATATAAATATAATAAATATGTGTATTTAAAATTAAAAATACGTGATAATATTATTGCAAAATTGCAACATTATTAGGGCATTTAATTTAAATCAATTTTTATTTTCCTTTAATGAGATGAATGAGTATTTTTTCAAATTAATAAATTCACTCACACTATGGACACGGCACGTACCACGCAGTGAAGCTGACACTACTGAATTAATAAAATACTAATTACCATTATAATAATTCAAATTATAGATAACAAGAAAATGGTCCAGCCCTTTTTATCTATAGATATGATATAAGTAAATAACAGAAATTTAACAAAATCGTAACCGATTGATGTCTATTGTTAAAATACACAATGATATTTAAACTTAGGTATATGTGAAACCGAAACATCAACATTTCTTTTACAATTTTGCTCTGTACGGGCGATGCAATTATTAAAGGAACAAATCATATTTTGCGCTTCATTTCATCTTTTAATACATTTAAAATTTTATACATAGAACTTGGCACCCAGTTAGATCATCTTATAAATAATCATCATCATCACATCATGAAGCCGCGTTAGAAGTTATACTTCTTTGGCTTAACAAGATAAAAATCTTTTCAAAAATTTAATCTTTCGCCTTATTCTACGTTTGTAGAAAAAACTTACAATAAAAATTTTAAAAATTTACTCTCATCATTTAGAAGCAGGTATAACTCAAAAAAACGTTGACTATAGCTAACTTCAGGGTGTCGGTTTTTTGGGACGGTTTGCGCGCGCATCGTAAATATTTACTCTCATCATTTTTCCATAACGCGCCAAAAGAAGTATAACATCAAAAAAAGTACACTAATGCTGTGTATTTTTATCCATTAACTTTTTAAATTACCCAGGTAAGTGCAATACCCATGTAATTTTCTTCCTTCTTTTTTTACGACTGTCAAAATGAGCGGTGGTCTCTGGGCGATAGCGTGTAGGTATCATCTCAAAAGCTTATTATTTACCACAGCCGAAATCGCATTCATTAACTAGCTTTAATAAAAGACACAGAAAAACATATGTAAATTCTTATGAAATGACACAGGTAGCGATGTCCACTTGAGTTGAAGAGGTTTGACGCCATGATAAACGCAATAATGAAGACACGGCGGTAGGAAATTTTATGTTTAGATAAAGAGATACCAAGGTGTGGAGTCATTAGATTTCTTTGAATTAATTGAATGAAAAATGTCCCGTGTCTCAATGGGAGTGGGGTCGACACGGAATGTATGTTTTTTTTTCTTCCTAAACTTTCTAGTTTCGGAGGATGAGGAATAGTAAATAATTCGAAAAGATATATAAAAATAATCCGTCTGATTATGAAATAGCTTATATTTCAACATTTTAAAGCTAAAGCTCTGCTCCGATCCAAAAGCTCATTTCACAATTAAACATGTAAAATTTTACACTTAAAAAACATGGATTAAATTAAGTTACAACAAAATTCTTTAGATTCATATTTTTATATGTTATGTAAGGAAATAATGGTTATACCAACACAAATTTTACAAATCAATCTTCTATATATACAATTCTCGTGTCACAATGTTCGTTCGCATACTCCTCCTCCTCCGGCTCGACCGATTCTTATGAAATTTTTTATGCTTTTTAGTAAGTTGAGAATTGGACAACATCTATTTTTCATCCCCCTAAACATTAAGGGCGGGGTGGGAACCCCAAAAATTTTATTTTTATTTTTTAGACAAAACTTTTTGTTTTTGTTTTTTTACTATACATCATACAAAAATGCATACAATCCTTAATTGTCACCCCTCTACGATCAAACCCTATTTTTTATTATAGTACATAGATAGTTATTTTTATTGAACTAAAAAAATGTTTCATAGCAATAATATATATGCAAAACGACGTTTGTCTGGTCAGGTAGTTATATATATATAAATAAATTAAAATATTATATAAATTTTCCTAAAAAAAAATATTTCAGTTTATAGCATAGCCTTATATAAATAAACAGCTCCATAACTACTGAACCTAAAACCCTAGGCCAGTCTTTGGATTTTCTTTTAGGTTTTCAATGACAGCGAATCTCATTTATCACGTTACCTTAATTATACGATTAACATATTCTAGGTATTCATATAAATTGTCACCAAAGTGCTCTCCACTTATGTTTATCGGCAGGAAAATTACAAAACTGTAACATTATAATTTACGAGTAACTGTTGTATTTATCACCTATTTGAAGTCCTGTAACACTATAATGTTGCATGGGGCAGACACATCTGTGTCAATTCACAATTACGGGCCACTGACTCCTAAATAAACATCTCTTTTACCTTGTCATAATGGTAGGACTTGTCATAAGGACCAACCTAATATACATCTATACGATTTTTCTTCTTTGTAAAAAAGGTTAATTTTGTGTAGAACCTTCTTGTTCTACCCATTAAAAGAAATACATATCATTTTGACATTTGAATTACTGACGCCTGTGTGAAAAATTCAACAATGCACGTTAGTTACGGAAATCTAAAATTATTCAGAGTGATAAACAACTCAAATCCCTAAATCAACATAATGGCATGTCATACAAAACTCCCGAAACTGGAAACCGAAGAAATATCCAGTAAGAGTACAAATTTATTAGGACCTAGTATGGAATCGAAATTTGACGAGCTCAAGTACGAAATAATTCATAAAATAGATAGTGAACTAACTGACTCGAAAAACGCAAGAGATTATATAACGCAAAAGTACGACGAGCTTTGTAATAAGATACAGTATCTAGCCGAACTAGACTCTACGGTAAACGGTTTTCGCACTGATGTTAAAGCAATAGAAAAACAGATACTGGAATTGTCTACAAGATTGGATGATGTAGAGAAGAGAGCGATTGCAAGAGATTGTCCATCTATTACGTCATCAATGTTGGGTGTACCTAAATAGTGTTTAGCGTTTGTTCAATATATTGTTAGCATGTCATTGTTCTGTGTTTTATTCTGACTCCAGACATTCTCATATTCCGCTGGTGATGTGCTGTATTACAAAAGGTCTAAGCATTGTAAATTTTTTACTAGTATGAAACAATATCGTGGAAGATTTAGCAATTCTTAACATGAAGTCGTAGCGCCCGTCAAAACCTCGAAGTGTGTTTAGCGAATGAATATAAAGCGGACCAGTAATTATACTGGTCACTTGACTTGATTCAGCGATCACATAACCATCCACACCTCAGTTGTATAGGAATATCCTATGTGTATTAAAAAAACCTTAATTTTTAATACATAGGGCAGTATTGGCCTAGTGGATTGATCATAGCGCGTTGAATCTCATCCCAGTGCTTGATTCGCTATCATCCATCCCCTATCCTATGGGAAAACATTTTTCCTATTTGCGCAATTGGCTGGGCTGGCGGGGGCGGCCTTCTGGGTGTTTTCTTTTCTCCCCCCCCCAGTCACTTACAGTGAAGGTTATAATGAAGAAACCGGCATGTCTTATACCCAAAAATCGTTGACATGTGTCAGACACAGAAGCCCGATCACGTAATATCAGGCCAAAACCGATTTAGGGTTATTGCAACCACTGTATTATTTATTAAATGAAAACGCAAAAATTTATACCAGGTGGATAAAATCGCGACAGCACTACCGGTGACAAAATTTAAACCTAATAAGAATCTATGCCCGGTACTTGGCAGATATTTTGATTTTGTTTTATTATTACTTAACTAATTCATAGTGTTACTTTTCAAAGGTTTATACGCGGATTCCTTAGCTGGCCGATGTGATCTTTTGGGTACTTATTATGTATCGTTAGGTTAGATGTAACAGATACTGACCAAAATCCTAAGGCACACCGCATTGCGGCCAGCCGCAAGTGCGTTGTAGGTCTAACTACGGAAACCTTAGCTTTACTTTGACGATTGCGTTTTGGCAAGGGAAAATTAATGACACCAAAGTCATAGCAAAAAGTATATTTCTCAAAAACATAACATCTTTTCAATAATTATAAACTTTATACAAATATTTTCGATAGCCATTTTACAATTAATTAATTTTTTTTGTTTAACAATTATAAATTTAAAAACATCGATTAATTTATAACAATTAGTAGTTACGAGTTAACAGTTAAAATAAATAACAATAAATATTTGGCACATCTAAGTCCACAGTAAGTACTAAACTATCACTAATTGTTCATACGTAGATAACTTATAAATTAAAAACAATATCACAATCATTCGTCATATTATAAAATTCACATAATAACGCCTTAATTCAATCATTCAAGTTCCTACAGGGCGCGTCTTAGGCAGCATTATTTTCTTATAAATAGTTTTTAAAAGTGAACACCATTGGTATGTAAGAAACCACTAAGTTTTTAAAAGAAAAAAAAACTTTATTCCTTTGAGAATTATTTATTTTGCTCCGTATTCGAATCTAGGGCATCTAGTCTTAATTTAAGAGTCAGAAACGAGACTCAACTAAGACTCCCGTACGCCGAATCCATTACTGATGATTATTTTTGACGCACGGAAGAGTCACACTTAAAGTCTCAAGTCTGAATCAATTAACCCCTTAATATAATTTTTAAATAATACTGCGCTAAAACTTTTGACGACCCTCTCGAAAACAACTCGGAAATATCGTCTAAGTATTTATCGAAAACCAAAAACTACGCCTTGCCGCCCAAAATAGTCTGAATCTGGGAAACAGTCTTGCCCTTTGTCTCTGGGATCAAGAAGAAAACGAAAAACACGCACACAATCATGAAACCGGCGAAGAACCAGAAACAACTGTAAATACCGATCGCATTTTTCATTAAGGGGAAACACAGGGTTACTATAAAGACCAACATCCAGTTGGTGATCACAGTAATCCCTGATGCAGTACCACGGAATTCAACGGGGAAGAGTTCAGACATCATCATCCAGGGTATGGGACCGAAGCCCAAAGAGAAGGAAATAATGAAGAGGACCAAGCAGACCAACGGAATCCAACCAAAAGAAGAGACATTACTTCCGTCCTCTTGCAGTTTGAAATACGTTCCCAGGATGATAAGACAGAGGCCCATGATAATACAGCTTTGGAGAAGGAGAATTCTCCGACCGGCTCTTTCGATAAGCAAGGAGGAAATGTAAGTGGCAATGGTCTGAACCACCCCGACAATGATGGTGGCGATGACGGCTGGGATATCAGACCCGGCGGAAGCGAAGATTTGGTTCGTGTAGAAGATGACAGCGTTGATTCCACTAAATTGCTGGAAGAACATGAGGCCCAAGGAGCAGATGAAGGCCATAAGGGGCGCGCGGTTGGTGAGCATGTGAAGAATGCCACCTTTGAGACGAGATGCGTTGTCAACCTGTAAAGATTTTTAGAAATATTATTATATCTTCTAAAAAATTGTCAGTATATATCTCAACGTTCGATTCTCAATGACGAGATCGTATTATTGAACACTGGTTGTGAGTGTTGCTGGTTTGTCTTTCAATTTACTTTATTAAATTATCGACTTAACAGACGCAAATCGGATTTTTGTCAAATACGTCAAGTTAAAAGAATTCAAACACGTATATCTATATATATAAAAATGAAACCCGTTTTCCGTTGTCACGACATAACATGAAAACGGGTTGACCGATTTGTCTGATTTTTTTTTCTAATATACCTTGAAGTACGAGGATGGTTTTTACGGAGAAAAATTAAAAAAAATTGAGTGAAAAAGTCTAAAAACAACACTTTTCTATACTGCCATACAAAATATTCGTAATAATACTTAAAAGTCAATTTGAACTTTAATACCATAGCTTTGAATAATATTGTAAAATTCTTTGGGACGAATTTGCGCGCCATCGTGTGTGGCAGAATATGCGAACGATTTATGATTGTATCACCTTAGCATTTGTACCATATTCTTGCAATAATTAAATTATTATTATTATTATAAAGTTCAAGTGTTAGTGGAGGGGTTCCGGGAAGGTAAATTTTTATTTTTTGACATAATGTATATTTTGTTGTCTTATCAATTTTTTTTTTATCTTATTAATAGCAGAATAAGTATTTTAAACAAATAAAGAATCGCCTGTTAGGCGGTACGATGTTCGCCAGGCCAGCTAGTTACTTATACATATATATATAACTCTTTCTCACCTCTTTCTGCATATCCTCAAGTTCAGTGGTAAGGTCAGCGTCAGGTCCACGGAGCCATCTCAATGCCTTCTCAGCATCGTGTCGTCTGTTCTTTCCAAGTAAATATTGAGGTGTTTCTGGCATCCACCTGATATTTCCATACCACGTAAGAATACAATAAAAAAAGGGTGCGTGTACTTATATACGCGTGTAAGACGTTATACTTCTTTCGCATTATTAAAAATAGTTTTTAATTGCATGCAAATAATTAATTACAATTAAATAATCAAAGACTGGAAAAGGAGTCATTATAGTCCATAAAGTTTAGTTTACATTTGAAAAATTAAATAAATAAATATTTATTATTATTCTCTTACATTAAGCGTAACATAAATTATATTATTATTCGAATGTTGTTTTTAAATTATGTCCAATGCCGTAGCATCTTCCGTGGGCAACTTCATTCTGTTAATTTTGTGTCACGGTGCGCGCGCATCGTAAAATTTCACTCTCATCAATTTTTCATAACGCGCCTAAAGAAGTATAACATCAAAAATTCTTGTTCGGGTTTTAAATAGTAATAACTTCTTTACAGTTAAACTTCACAGAATTCTGCTTCCATAAAGCAAATGTATTGTTACTAGGTGTACCGTTTCAAAAATATATTTCCAAATCGGTCCAGGCGTCGAGTAATTGAAGCACAGCGAGCTTTCAAGGAGTCGAGAACTATCCATTTTGAAATTAGTTAAAAAAAATATTGCGGCAATAACTTACCAAAACACAACAATAAGCAGGACCGGTATGACAGCGGATACAATGGACAAAGTCCTCCAGTGTGTCCAACCACCCACCACGAACGTAAACAGGATACCAACAGTCAAAAAGAGCTGAAAGAAAGCTCCCAATGACCCACGAATGGATGTCTCAGCTATTTCACCAATGTACATTGGCGCTGCTACGCAAATACCACCTAAAAGAAATATGTCCAATTAGGAATAAAGTAAATAAAGACTGCTTAATTGCTGTTTTCCTACAAGAAATAATGTTTGAACACTTTCTTTCTTTCTTTTAAATATTTTAAACTACGCTTTCCTCGTAAAAGTCGCGAAGGGTGGTCTATACAATCCCTCAAAATAAAGTATAATTTTTCATCTTTGAAAAGGGTTTGTGCCTAACTTATAAAATTAAAAACAAGATAGAGTAACCAAAAAGATAAAAACAAATTGTTCGCGTAAACAGTTAAAAGTATTATAGGAAGATTATTTTGACAACGGAAAGCACACAAAAAGTTAAAATCGCAATTGAAAAGTTTGACAAATTCAACTCAAATAACACGAATATGATTATCATATGAAGTTACCAGTAGCTAGTCCAGCAAAGAACCTAGCAGCGATCAGCATCCCTGCTCCATTGGCGAAGATTGTCAGCAACCAACTCAGAATAAATGGTCCAGCCAAAATGAGAATGGTTGGTCTACGTCCAAACTTTTGTGCGAAGACGCCGACGGGTAACGCGCTGATAGCTGCACCAATTGCCAACACTGATGAGACAAGAGAACCTGGAAATGAGAAACGCATGTATAGAATATTTCCAAGTAATGATAAAGTTTTTAAAACTGATAAAACGGCCTGAAATTGGTTTTTGCTACACAGTCTTGTATCTGGTTACAACAGGTCAATTACAGTCGGCAGATATACTGCTCAAAACAATTAGCGGAACAAGATTTTTCTCCTTTCTATTGCTTAAACTAAAATTAGATTTAAATTAACTTGTACGCTATTTTTTACCTTGTTAATTTGTTAATTACTACAATTATTAAAAAAATTCAATTTGTATTTTTTTTTATTAAAAAAAATTTAAAATGTGCATTGTAGACGAAAAACTAATTGGTGATAAAAAAGGTCCATCAAAGAAATATTCTTATAAATAAATAAAATAAAAAGCCTTTTATTTCCCAATATAGTTAATCAATAAGGTACATTTCTTTATGTGGTTTTCTAAACCTTTGCAAAACTTAACAAAATCTATTAGTAAATGAATAAATATTATGACTATATTTCTATCATGCTAAGTATTATTATTTACAGTTTTTGATATTCTAAATTATTGTATAGGAACCCCTCTTCAGGTGAAGGCCTCTTCCAGCTTTTGCCAGTTTTCTCTATTTTGCGCTATGTGCTGCCATTTGGGGCCAGCTATTTTTTAAATATCTTCTTCCCAGCGTGCGAAAGGTCGCCCTCTGCAGAGCTGGTTAATTAGATTGTTTTTTTTTTTCGGTTGATGAGTTGGTTTTTAATGGTGTTGCTGGAAGGTTTTGGTCGTAATGACAACGACGCGGTATGCTTCGTATGATCCTCCGAATATCTTCTTGTGGAATTCGCTCCCATTCTTCAATCAACGCTTCAGTGAGCTGCTGCAGTGTTTGAGGTGCAATCGGACGCTTCCGGATGCGCCTGTCAAGCAAGTCCCAAATGTGTTCAATTGGATTTAGGTCAGGGCTCATGGAAGGCCACTCCATTACACGGATTTCCTGCTGTCGTAAGTAATCTGACGTGATGGCTGCAGTATGCGGCCTGGCATTATCTTGCATTAAAAGAAAATCTGGGCCCATACCATATGCTGCGGGCCAAACATGATCTTCGAGCACATTTTCAATGTAAGTTTGAGCACACAAGCGCCCGGGAACAACGACGAGATCTGTGCGCTCGTCCAAACTAACTCCGCCCCAAACCATCACAGAGCCACATCCAAATTTGTCATATTCCTGGACTGCTGCTGCACTGTATCGCTCGCCTGGGCGTCTGTAAAGACGGAGACGACCATCGCAACGTGTTAGACGGAATCGTGATTCGTCAGTAAAAAGCACTGGCCTCCAATGTCGAAGTTGCCAATTAGCGTGATTTTGCGCGAACTGTCGGCGAGCTTGTCTATGTTGAATTGTTAGACGCACAGCCCGAACTGGTCGGCGTGATCTCAAATTGGCTTCCAACAACCTATTTCTTACCGTCCGGTCGGAAATTTCTACACCAGTAGCCGTCCTTAGTGTATTTTGTAGATCTCTTGCAGTTGTGGTGCGGTTACGTAAAGCACAGTTGACGATGTAGGGATCTTGCAAACGTGTAGCTTTTCTCTTTCGACCTTGACCACGCCCTCGTGAGTATTCTCCCGTCTCACGGTATCGCTTCCAAAGTCTGTAGATAACAGAAGGGGCTACTCCTAGATCATTTCCTACATAACGCATAGTTCGACCCTCTTCAAGCAAAGCGATAGCTCGGGAGACATGCAATTCAGTCAGATCTGGCATTATGACTTAAACTCACTCGCTTCAATGAATAACAATACTCAAAAGGCTCACTTCAATTTCTATTAATACTCAAAAGATTGAAAAAAACTACTTAAAATGTGTTTTCTGTGATTAGAAAGTAATGAAAATTCAAAGACGTCACTTTGTTTTTCGTCTACAATGCACATTTTAATTTTTTTTAATAAAAAAAATACAAATTGAATTTTTTTATTAATTGTAGTAATTAACAAATTAACAAGGTAAAAAATAGCGTACAAGTTAATTTAAATCTAATTTTAGTTTAAGCAATAGAAAGGAGAAAAATCTTGTTCCGCTAATTGTTTTGAGCAGTATATTTATTATAAGATAATTAAAAAAATAGAACCTGTGATTTGTACAATCGTTTCAATTGGTTAAAATATTAACATAACCATTGCAAAAACACAACAATACAATTTGGCTAAAACACAAGGAAATCATTAATGATTACGAGGGCATAGTACTAAGCTTAATTGTAAACAGAATTTCTAGCGAGTTTGCAGTTAAACGTCAGTGCATACCGCATCGAAGCCAAAAGTCATAAAAATATTTGTAGCCAGATTACGCAAATTTAGAACTTAAGATATTTGTAGATTCGACATTGTAGAACGTAGCCAGTATTATTTGTCGGTACTACGACTACATTTGATACATTCTTTAGCCTCGCGTCGGAAGGAACATTATCATTAATATTATAGAAAAACGTCCTCTGAGACCTACTGACTCCAATATTATGAGTCTCGAGAATTATCACGTGATAGTACGTAAATAAATGTAAGTATAAATATCCGGTCACACCCACAGACATACCTCCAGCGTGGTACCCTTGGCAAAGCGCCAGATTACGTAGAATTTGGACAAACAGATAATTTATTTTTACATTTTATGCGCGTGATCGGAAGGTGCGTATGATTTGCGTCAACTTCTGACAATGATGGCAAATTTTCTAAATTTAGCAAGGTCGTAAATTTGGATGAGAACTGTTACCGAGTTCATTGTTTATTTTACAATCGATAGACTAGTATGTAATTTGTCTCTATTCGAACAAACTTCTTACATAGTGCTTTTAAATCGTTAATTTTTTAATCCGCTGGGGGGGTTTAATTCTAGAATTCTCATGGAACTTGTTAGATACTTAATAAAAAGTAACTTTTTAACGTTAATTGCAATGTATAAGGAATCTTAATCCAATCAAAGTTTTCTGACTGTAATAGGTATGTCAAAATGAATAATACGAAATTGGATGTGGTTTTTACAATGATAAAAAATAAAAATAAATCAGTGGCGCTACAACCTCTTTAGGTCTTGTCCTCAGATTTCTGAATCTGTTCCATGATCATTTTTAAATTTAATAGGCAAGTAGGTGATCAGCCTCCAGTGCCTGACACACGCCGTCGACTTTTTGGGTCTATGGCACTTCGGTTTCGTCACGATGTTTTCCATCACCGATAGAAAGAAAGTTCATTGCTGCACAGCCGGGGATCGAACCTACGACCTCAGGTATGAGAGTCGCACGCTGAAGCCACTAGGCCAACACTGCTTTTTTACAATGATAACTAGCTATAAAAATGCCTTGTTCATTGACACAATTTTCATTTATTATTTAACTTAAATATTAATTTATATATTTTGCTACTAAAAACATTAAAATATATGATATTTTTGTGGCACATCTAATTAATATGAACAAGCAGCTTAAATATGAATTAATAAAATATGGATAAACTTAACGCATTATTACGTCAGATACAATTAATAACGTTATGTAGCAATCGTTAATTAGCTTGAAGATATGTCCTGGCTGATATATTTTATAAATTCAGTCCGATCAATCGAATGATCTTGGATTTCTAATTAATGGTAATCATATTACAAGATCAAGGGCCCACGCTAAGATCAAGGTTAAAATGTGGGTTTAAATGATCATAAGGAATTTACAGGAATGGTTTTATTATTTAATACGAATTATGTACAGCCCTACTACTTTGTAAAGCTTAAACTGATTTCAGTGACTGACTTAACAATTGGCATTTATATTTCAATATTCGTGAGGCTTTTTTCGCAAACTGTAAATTACGTGGTAAGAATACTCATTGAAATCGGAATCGTTATTAAACTTACGGGGTAAGCTGGTAACCAGCCTTGAATGAAGCCTTACAATTCTCATTAAAATGCATATAATACTTTTGTATCAAAGTCAATCAATTTATTCACTTTACTTAGATAACTTTTGTTCACTTGACGTCAAATAAATATAAGAAATAACTGTAAATTTACATTAACTACTAATTATCAAATAAGGTTGAACGTATGACGTATTCTTCATTGGCAAGTATCTCACCACTTTTTTTAAACCGCCAATTACATATTTTGTTTTAAAAGATAATTGTAAGGAGCTGCAATCATTACACCTTGTTCGATATGACATAGAAGGAAACAGTAATTAAAATCAATATTAACAAACAAGTAAATACTAAGTATTTAATAACCTAAGAGTATTAAGGATGTTTCGCAGATTACAAAAAAATCTTATCTACCTAAACTATTAAAAACACGAAAAAGAATAAAAAACTTACTATCTTTAGTATCCAGAAGGAAGTCAGCTTGCTGCCCCAAGGAATTGATGAGAATGTCGGTAGTGTTCGTGTCATTTAGGGCAAATATATCTCTCTCAATAAATTCACTAGTGTTTTTAGGAGGCTCTAGTTGTGGCAGCGCTGGTGATGTCCAGCCAAGAATGGTGCCGGCCGCTACAGCCCCTATTGCAGCTGAAAACACAAATCGTTGTTTAAGTTAGCTGTGCAATGCGATTCAGTTATCGAGTGTAATTAAAGCAAGATTTATATGAACCACTGAAACTGTCGTTTAAATTAGTTATGTTAATTTAGTTAAAATTTATAGTGCTAACCACAGTAATTGCTGTATTACAATGAGTTTTATTTAACTTTCTAACAATAATTTTGGCACTTCAATACTAAAATCAATAATTAACTCTATAACGAGGTAGTATTGGCATTAGTGCTAACTTATTACCCTTTTCCTGATAACCGATGAGGAAATGGTTTTGAAAATTCAATGTCTACGGGATAAGTGGGACTCGGCCCATAACAGGCATCCTCTCTGTACTCAGAGAGCTGGGTGAGCAACACGAAAACATTCGGGTGCAACCCACCCTACCGCATAATAATACTCCCGTAGTCCCGATTTCGTCATAATAATAAAAATAAAACAATTACGATGTAGGTAGTTCTTTGATGTGGTGCTAAACTGTTATCAGGATCAAAGTCACATTCGCTATTGTTCCATGGTACACGTTTTAGGTAGTATGTCAATTATTTCTTAGCTTTTGCGGCAAAAAAAATGGTTTGCTAACAAAAATAATATTTCTCTTCTTATATTTTAGTATTCAAAAAGTACCACTATTGGAGTTCATTATTATAATTCATTGTAATTTGTGTGATTTAGCGGCTTTGTGTAAATAAGTTGAGTATGACTATGATAATTAAAGTTAGTGACGTAATTCGCGCTTATTTTGCGATTGACTGACGTCCGGATTATGTCTCAGATTTCTGCATATATTTCATTGATAGTTTTTCTTTATAGATGATAAGCCTTCAATGCCTGACACCTATCATTGGTTTGTCTATAACATATTGAACTTTTCATGATGTTTTCAACCGTACGATCTTAAAGGAAACAAAATCTATTGGTAAACATCTGGGATTTGAATGAAAGACTATTATTTATGAATACTACTAGTAATTACTACACGTACACGACCTACACACGTACAAACGTTCGGTTCTATGAAAAAACGTAAACATAAAACGACGAACGTTAAAAACTTAAATTAGAGACAGATACATAAGCTTGGCTTTTGGTCGAATTTTGTTCCAATACAAAAGCCAAAATGTTAGTGTTCTTATAAAGCGTTTTGTCGTGGAACACAAGACGTCAAAGTGGAATGGCTGGAATTTTGCATTCAGTTTTGACGTCCGATTATGAAATTTACAGCTGGTTTTAATCCGAAGAGTTCTTTGGAACACTCCCCATGATATAGAAGATGCAGAGAGAGCCAACATCTCTACGCAGCACCAAAGGATCAAGCAGATCAGAAAGAACAAGGACGATGCGGCTCTGCGTAGGATGCGGTCAAAAGGAAGGAGCTGGTATTGGGGAACCCCTGAGCACACCTAGGATTAGCCAAATTAGCCTCTTAAAAGACTAACAGATGACTGCGGAACTGAGTATTCCGATACTAGCTGAGGCTTTTAGGGGAGTGACTGCGAATAGTGGTGATACAACGCTGGGATTCTTTTTAGCGGTGAACGCGCAAACTTGTGTCTTATTAGGGTTAAATTCGACTATGTTTGTTCCGACACTGCTCATTGATATATACTGTTATATTCTGTTACTTCTATATATCATTGATATATTGGAGGAACAGTATTGAGAAAGGTACACAGCCTTGGGGAACTCCAGCATTTATGGGTTTTAGGTCAGAACATTTACCGTTGATTAAGATGAGCCAAGCTCGAAGTATAATTGCGTATGGATGTACCTTCAATCTCGAGTTAACTAAATCAGTACTTAAATAAATAACATGAATCAATATTAACCTCGGTCTAAATTGTCGAAATGTGTTGATGTAAATAGAAAACAGTTCATTAAATTTTGATTTGTTAACGTTAGCAGATCACATTTGTTTGCTTAATATTGAATATTAATCTCATGCGCATATCGAAAATCAATTGGCCGTTTAATAATGTTCGTTATGCAATAAATTAATTGTTTCACATCTGTATGATATGTTATTTATAACAAGTGCATAGTTGCCAGTTCGGCAAAAAAGTTTTATTATAAAAACGATTTTTTTTTCTAAGAAGAACCGTCACGCTTTTTACTGTGTAGCAGTAGATGGTTGATTTGGATCCACTGCTTTGAAATTACCTCATTTCTTATGATACGTAGAACATGTCTTGTTATAGGATAAATTTATTCTACTGAAGGAACTAATTTAAGAAAAATATCTTACCAGCAACGGCAGCGATATATTGATTTGTCTTCCTCGTCTCTCCGCCCTTCTCCTGGACGGAGAGCATATGCATAGTTGGCTTGTCCATGGCGTCAGTTTACCGCATTCTGGAACAAATAATAATAAGAATTAAATATAAAGATTATTTTACAAAGATTAACCTATGACTGAAAAAAGAGAAAGTCATCCTGTACCTGGAGGTGCTTGTTAAAATACGGAGTTCAGAATACACCCATAATAATACGCAATGTTGGAATTAAAAAAAAATAAAGACTATAGAGAGAGAAGATAAACCTCTCGGGGATGATCTGTCTCCTTATTAATTATATTTGTCGCTTAAAATCGACTTTTTTTAAATACATTGCCTCTTTACTGAACATCGTGGAACATTACGATCTAGCCTAACTTAAGACTAATAAGTAATTTAAGTCTAACCTAATTTCCTAATAAGGATACTTAAGACAAGAAGACACTACTTACAGTCTCTATTAAGGGGAAGACACTCTCTTCTTGTGTTATATTTTAGCATTTAAGACTAAAAAATGGTAGTGCAAAATACTAGCAATAATATTTTTAAGCTAGTTACACAGTCCCTAGACATATTTTCTAATCTTTAATGAGAAACACCCACGCGTATTCTAACGAATACTGCTGACGGACTGTCTAGCTCCCAGTCCCAAATAAAAGATAATAAGTTAGTCTTAAGCACCATTGTAAGTTGTAACCGATACAATAAAGTAATATTTGAAATAATATTTATTATTTTTAAAAAAAATCCTCGCGTTTTTTACTAGCTACCTTATACGAGTTCTCAGACCTCAATAAACAAACTATAAACTTTCAAGGGGATGTCCACTGCTTCGAAAAACATGTTATTTACTTACGCGATTGCGAACACAATATCACCATCGGCTGTCACTACTAACAATGATGGAAATCGAATGCTAAGGTTAAATGATATTGACACTGTACCGCAATACCACGAATGAATCTAATAGTTTTAACCGGCTTAAGAAAATTGGAATATATTTATAATCTAATTAACGTAATATAATATTCTGATGATGTCGTATATTGTCTTCAAGAGGGTTGTTTTTATGAGTCTGTTGGAATGTCAATTTGCTGGAGAGTAAAATGCTTTTTAATGTAGGCACACATTAAAGACTAATAATAAGAATAAAATATATTAAAAGATTCTTTATTAATGGAAAAATACTTAAATTTTACAAATTAATATACAAACAAAGGTACAAAACGACGAAGGCTGAAGAAAGCCCTTTTTAACTTAGGGACAGAGGTGATACAAGAATTGATAAAACCTTGACGTAAAAATCAATAATTGAATCAGATAAACCCACATGATACACTAGTTAATTGCTATTTGTTCGCGTGACTAGAATCAGTCCATTTCCCCACAGAATACAATTGTTTATAACCTAGAATATCCTTAGAGAGATGTTAAGGACACTGCTAATTATGATAATAATATGCTAACTTGTACTCATTTGATTTCCAGTGCCAAGATTTAAACGTAGTATTTGGTGTAATATTTTCGTTTAAGGTTTGGAAACATAGAATAGAACTATCATTTGTTAAATTTAAAAATTTATAATAAATAGTTATACCCCAAAACGTGAAATTGGCAACCACAGCCGTATAAAAGAAAAAGTTGTTGCTACTAAGTATGATAGGTATATAATTATTGTAATTTAGAGCATTGTACAAAAGAACAATTGACTAAAATAATAACTGGTAATTTTATTAATAAAACATAACATATTATAGGTGCTTGTAGTTTTTTCACGTTACTATTCCTACCCTCAGCGAAAACTAACCTCTCGAAAAGGGCACACATAACACAACGTATGGAAATAATTAATGAACTGCATAGATTAACAGACATTTTTAATTATCCGTTTAGTGAACTGACAAAAGGTCTGCTTCATGTCAGTTCTTATACATGAAATAGTTAGTCTTTTTGTAAATATTTTAATCTATTACTGTTTAATATTGTTTTGTTAAAAATAAAAATAAACTTCCGCATCTGTGGTAAAGTTACTGATCCAGCAGCAGGCCATAAGGTTATTTGTTTGCATCATTCCATCCGTTGATTCTTTTCATTTATAATTATCGCAATATAACTCATTTAGGGCTTCTATTGAAGAGTCAACTGCCACTTGCAGCCAGCACGAACAAACGATTTCGTGCCATCAACACGATAAAATACGTAAAATCGAATAGAATAATAACAATACAACGCTTTATACGTATTACTATCAAGATTATGTTGAACATCACTTCATAGGTATATTTGGAAATAAAATTAATAATAATATTATAAAAGCAGGTTCGTGTAATAAACTGTGCCAAATATGTGCAACGCAAATCTTTATGAGCCATTGGAAACTAATATTACCGTATAAAAATATACGAATACTATTATACCCGCCTTCTACTGCGAGCGGAACAGACCCATTACGGACTCCGCTATACTCGTAACGATGATTTTCATACATTTTCATTTTCATTTCTGTGTGAAACTCCGTCAACTCGCTTACCTCATATTATGCGACTCTATCAAATCGCTCTCTCCGCTGCGCTCGTCTCCGCTTTGGTGGAAGCACATGTATGGAAATCATCGTTACGAGTATAGCGGAGTCCGTAATGGGTCCGTTCCGTTCGCAGTGGAAGGCGGGCTGTTTCGGACGCGCCTGGGGGGGGGGTGTGGGGCGGCCGGGGGGGGGCCGCGGGGGGGGGGGGGGGGGCCCCCCCCGTGGGCTAAAGCGTTCGTTAGCCTCCTTGTGTCGGGCCTTTCTTCCTCACTAGCTCCCTTTTGTGGGGTGTTTTGGTGGGCTGTTTGGGGGATGTTTAAAGTGGGTTTGGGGGGGGGGGGGGGGGGTAGGGTTTTTTGGGGTTTTGGGGGGGTTTTTTTGGGGTGGACGGGGGGGGGGGGGTGAGGGGGGGGGGGGGGGGGGGTTGGGGGGGGGGGGGGTGGTTGGGGGTGGGGGGGGGGGGGGGGGGGGGGGGGGGGGGTGGGGGTGTGGAAGGCGGGCATAACTATTGTAAAGTTTGTACTAAGAGTAGGTACAGTACAGTGAAAAGCTTAACGCCCAGTTTTAATAGACTCCGATTATAAGTGAAGAGTTTTAATTTCAAACATATAACACAGAGTTCACTTTGCGAAATGAAGAAGTAAAAATAAAAGTAGTAAGTCACAGGTAAATTGAGAATGACATGGCACCTAACTCGACAAAATATAATACATCCCTTGTAATTATTGAGTGTGGGTTCGTTTAAACAGACCCTTATTTGTAGTATTGATTGAAAACAGGATGACTCAAATGTTACCTCGTTGTCTTCATTGATCCTTATTAAGATGCGATACACTGGAATTTAACCCAGTCACATTACACCTTGACTTAATAATCATCATGCAATTGTAAAGTATTGTATTTTTTAATTTTTATTACATGCAACATTATCAGAGAATTATATATGCTTAGTTCCCCCCCCCCCTTTCCCCCAAAAAAAAACCCAAAAAAAAAAATCCCCCCTTTTTTTTTCCCCCAAAAAAACCCCCCTTTTTTTCCCCCCCCCCTATTTTTTTTTTTCCTTGGAAAAAAAAAACAAAAAAAAAAAAGAAAAAAAAAAAACCAAAAATTTTTTTTTCGGGGGGTTAGAAAATAACCCCCCCCCCTTTTTTTTTTTTTTTTTTTTTTTTTTTTTTTTTTTTTTTTTTTTTTTTTTTTTTTTTTTTTTTTTTTTTTTTTTTTTTTTTTTTTTTTTTTTTTTTTTTTTTTTTTTTTTTTTTTTTTTTTTTTTTTTTTTTTTTTTTTTGGGTGGCTATGTAAAAGTAATTATACATTCAAAGATAAAGCGTCACCTTTTACTTGACTCTTTCATGACATGTTTTTATCTATACAGTGAATTATAGAAAAACTGGCTGACCTGGTAAACGTTGTTTTGCCATGTATATTATTTATAGGAAAAAAATTTTAGTTCAATAAAAATAACTATGTAACTACTATAATAAAAAATAGGGGTTGATCGTAGAGGGGGAAAATAAGGGTTGTATGTATATTTTTATGCTGTATCATAAAAAAATAAAACTAAAAAATAAAATAAAATTTTGGGGTGGACACCCCTTATCACTTAGGGGTCTGAAAGATAGATAGTAGCCGATTCTCAGACTCACTGAATATGCATAAACAATTTCATAAGAATCGGTCGAGCCGTTTAGGAGGAGTATGGGAACGAACATTATGACACGAGAATTTTATATAATTTATAGAGATAACGTATGGGTCGTCTAGTTGGCTAGAAGAAACTGCTTCTAGCAGCAACCGGCCATTTTCCTTAGCCTTCATTTATTTAATTTTATTCTCCTGTTTTGTGTTATTGTGATGTTAATAAAGTGTTATTATTTTTATGCGTTTTCTATAGTAAAATCTACTAATCTTCCCGAATCAATTACTACTGGTAATTTGCAAAAAAAGCTTTAGTCGTTGCATTAGAGTATAGGTAGGTATATATTTTAAATCATTAAGTTCTAAAGTTGCGAAGAAATCGTATATTGTATTATTGACTAAGTTAATATGAGGAATGTTTACTGTGGGAGTGAACTATAAACAAGTCACTGGCCGACCTGTGATTTAATTATAAATACGTATTTTAATGAGCGAATATTAAATATTTAAATCCATATTAAAGGTAACAAATTATTTAACTACTATTCATATTTCTCCATAAACAAGGTGATAGTGAATCTTTCATAACTATACGATGCCCGCAACTTCGTCTGGATATGTTAATTTAAAATCTTTCAAACCAACTATAATATGTTCATATATGTGTTTGTAAGGAAACAAGCCTGAAACCGTTTGACAGATTTTTATGAAATTTATTTAATTTTGTGTAAATTCAATAGGCCAAAGAATAAACGTAACATTTGTTTTATACTTTTAAATGATAAGAGCCTATGCGAATATAAAAAAATAATTATATATATATATACATATGCATTTGTTAATAGCTGTTAAATAGATCTAAACTCTGAGGTTTGTTCTAAGTACCCAATTAACACTTGCT